CTCCCTCACGTATCATTCCTCCTCCCTCCCCCTTCCCCCACCTGTCCTTCACTCCTCTTTGTTCCATCTCTATTCTCCTCTCTCCTCTTTCCTCCCTTCTCTTCCTCTCTCACCTCTCTTCTCTCTCCCTTCTCTCTCTCTCCCTTTCCTCTCTCTCTTCTCTCCTTCTCTCTCCTCTCCTCTCTCTCCTCTCTCCCTCTCCTCCCCCTTCTCTCTCTCCTCTCTCTCTCTCTCCCTCTGCTCTCTCTCTCTCTTCTCTCCTTCTTCTATCTCTCCTCCTCTCTCTCTCTCCTCTCTCTCTCTCCTCCCTCCTCGTCTCTCTCGCTATCTCTCATCCTCTCTCTCTCTCTCCTCTCCTCTCTCTACTCTCTCTCTCTCTCTCCCTCTCTTCCTTCTCCTCTTCCTCTCCTCTCTCTACTCCTCTCTCTCTCATCTCTCTCTGCTCCTCTCCTCTCCTCCTCCTCTTCCTTCTTCCCTCTCCTCTTCTCTCTCTTCCTCTCTCCCTCCTCCCCTCCATCCTCCTCCCTCCTCCCTCCCTCTTCCTCCCTCTTCCTCCCTCTTTCCCTTCCCCCCTCCCTTCCCCCTCCTCCCTCTTTCCCTCCCTCTTCCCTCCCTACTTATCCCTCCCCTCCCTCCCCCTCCCCCTCCTCCCTCTTTCTCCCCTCTTTCCCTCCTCTTTCCCTCCCTCTTTCTCCTCCCTCCCCTCTTCCCTCCCCTCTTTCCCTCCCCCTTTCCCTCTCCCCTCTTTCCTTCCCTCCCTCCCTCCTCCCTCTCTCCCTCCCCTCCTCTCTTTGCATCCCTCCCTCTTTCCCTCCTCCCTCTTTCCCCGCCCTTTCTCTCTCTCTCTCCCTCTCTCTCTCCTTTCTCTCTCTCTCTCTCTCTCTCTCTCTCTCTCCCTCTCTCTCTCTCTCTCTCTCTCTCTCTCTCTCCTCTCTCTCCTCTCTCTCTCGTCTCTCCTCTCTCTCTCTCTTCTCTCTCTCTCTCTCTCTCTCTCTCTCTCTCTCTCTCTCTCTCTCTCTCTCTCTCTCTCTCTCTCTCTCTCTTTTCCTCTCTCCTCTCTCCTTTCCTCTCTCCTCTCTCCTCTCTCCTCTCTCCTCTCTCCCTCCCTCCATCCATCCATCCCTCCCTGCCCTTCCTCTCCTCTCTCTCTCTTCTCTCCCTCTCTCCCTGCTCTCCCTCACCTCTCCTCTGTATCTCTACTTCTCTCCCCCTTCTCCCTCCTCCTCCCTCTCCTCTCTCTCTCTCCTCTTCTCTCTCTCTCTCTCTCTCTCTCTCTCTCTCTCTCCTTCTCGCCTCTCCTCTCTCCTCTCTCTCTCTCTCATCCTCCTCCTCTCTCCCTCTCTCTTCGTCTCTCTCCTCTCTCTCCTCTCTCTTCTCTGCTCTCTCTCCTCTCTCTCTCCTCTCTTCTCTCTCTCTCTCTCTCTCTCTCTCTCTCTTTCCTCTCTCTCCTCTCTCTCTCTCTCTCTCTCTCTCTCCTCTCTCTCTCTTCTCTCTCTCTCTCCCTCTCTCCTCTCTTTCTCCTCTCTCTCTCTCTCTCTCTCTCTCTTTTTTCCTTCTCTTTCTCCTTCTCCTCTCTCTCTCTCTCTCTCTCTCTCTCTCTCTCTCTCTCCTCTCTCTCTCTCTCTCTCTCTCTCTCTCTCTCTCCTCTCTCTCTCTCTCTCTCTCTCTCTCTCTCTCTCTCCTCTCTCTCTCTCTCTCTCTCTCTCTCTCTCTCTTCTCTCTTCTCTCTCTTCTCTCTCTCTCTCTCTTCTCTTCTCTCTCTCTCTCTCTCTCTCTCTCCTCTCTCTCTCTCTCTCTCTCTCTCTCTCTCTCTCTCTTCTCTCTCTCTCTCTCTCTCTCTCTCCTCTCTCTCTCTTCTCTCTCTCTCTCTCTTCTCTCTCTCTCTCTCTCCTTCTCTTCTCTCTCTCTCTCTCTCTCTCTCTCTCCTCTCTCTCTCTCTCTCGTCTCTTCTCTCTCTCTCCTCTCTCCGTCTCTCTCTCCTCTCTCTCTCCGTCTTCTCTCCCGCTCTCTTCCGTCCGTCCCTCTCTCCCCGTCCCTCTCTCCTCCCTCTCTCGTCCCTCTCTCCGCCTCTCTCTCGTCTCTCTCTCTCTCTCTCTCTCTCTCTCTCTCTCTCTCTCTCTCTCTCTGCTCCTCTCCTCTCTTCTCTCTCTCTCTCTCTCTCTCTCTCTCTTCTCTCTCTCCTCTCTCTCTCTCTCTCTCCTCCTCTCTCTCTCTCTCTCTCTCTCTCTCCCTCTCTCTCTCTCTCTCTCTCTCCCCCCCCCTCCCCCCCCTCTTTCTCTCTCTCTCTCTCCTCTCTCTCTCTCTCTCTCTCTCTCTCTCTCTCTCTCTCTCTCTCTCTCTCTCTCTCTCTCTCTCTCTCTCTCTCTCTCTCTCTCTCTCTCTCTCTCTCCCCTCTCTCTCTCTCTCTCTCTCTCTCTCTCTCTCTCTCTCTCTCTCTCTCTCTCTCTCTCTCTCTCTCTCTCTCTCTCTCTCTCTCTCTCTCTCTCTCTCTCTCTCTCTCTCTCTCTCTCTCTCTTGGTAGTCACACACCCAAGTGCACATATCAAGAAAGGTTTATCTTCAAAAACAAGCGTATACTCACCGCAGTGGAGGGAGGAGTAGTGGCGCACGTCTGTTGTTGGTTCGAGGTCCCGGGTCGTTCGAAAAGGTCATTACATTTCGGTGCAAAACCGAAGGGCTGATTCTCGACATATGATACCTGAATGGATAGAATGATACATGAATATGTGGAATATAGAATACATGAAATAAAGATTATCGATATACAAATAGTGTACATTACAGTACGAAAGATTTCGACTGAAAGAGTAGTTTTCAGTATCGACCTAATTGAAAGTTGAAGGGGTTCTAGAGACATGTAAATAATTTTTGCAAATTCTGGATAAACATTTCAGTTGCCTTGCCGACGCAGAACATAATTCTTGTCCTGCTTGTATCCTTTAGAGTACCTACCCCGCTGTTAATATCTCCTAAGATATGGATAAAAAATGGCTTCGAATTTGTTTACAAGTAAATAAACACGAATGAATTACTAGAAAACGAGAAAAAATATTTTCAAAATTATACTAAAATACAATTAACATAAATGAAGAGAAAAAAGGGTTAACCAAAACTATGAAAATCTACTCACGCTACAGTACGTTGCTTCGGTACGCACGCAGATCGCATATTCTTGGTCGTCAACATAGTACCATTTGTCGTTGTTGGGATCAATGTTATTCCACATATTGATTGTTCCACTTGTACCCCAGTACCATTGGCCGCATCCCTGGGGCGCTGCGCAATGGGTTGTATGATTATCATTGTTTTCACTATCATCGTGTTCGTTGTTATCCTAATCAGTAATCTTCTCATTAGTAATGTAATTGTTATAATCATTACTGTTAGTACACTATTATTATTATCACCATATCTTTAATACGAAACGGGCCGAGAGTCTTACCGCCCATGTCGCACGTGTACTGAGACACGTACATCTCCCATCTCCTGTCCAAGGAAACCGCCTCGGAAGTGTGGAAGGTGAAGATGGTGTACTGGGCAGTCACGTCGAAATAATCTGAGGGAAAATCATGTCGCTTGTAATTGCATCCATCCCATATCTAGTTTACAATTACAGGTCATGTTATCCTTTTTCCCCAATCCACAAGATATACGGTGCCATCAAAACACAACGCTTAAAGAACACATAAGCAGGTGCAGTTACAAGACTTACAGTGGACGTCAATCGTTTTGCCGCAGACCTTGCTGAACTTCGTGTCTTGGTTGACTTTAAAATAGTCCTGGAAACAGTCCCCTGCTTCTCCCACCGCATCCAGCGTCAGCTCCTTCACGTCAATCCTGGAGGAAGAAAAGAAATCAAAATCACCTCGGTGAAAAGGATTTGAGCAGCCCCTTGTGGAAGAAAGAAAGAGGGGGAGAGGAAGAGTGAAAGAGAGAGGGAGAGAGAGAGGAGGAAGAGACAGACAGAGAGACAGGGGGGGGGTGAGACTGACAGAGAGAGAGAGAGGGGGGGGGAGAGAAAGAGGATGAGAGACAGAGAGTGGGGGGGGGGGGGAGAGAGAAGATGAGACAGACAGAGATAGAGACAGAAATTTAGACAAACAGACAACCAGATAGGGCAAGAGAAAGACAAACAAACAAAAGATCCAGAGAAAGAATAAGAAAGAATTCAGAAAGAAAGTCACAAAGACAGGGAGAGAAAAACAAAAAAAAATCAAAGAGAAAGCCCGAAAGACAGAAAAAGAAAAAGAAAGAATTCAGAGCGAAAAACAGAAAGACAAAGAAAAAATAAACAGATAGCGAGAGAACCCCCGTCTACCGGCCGCCACTGCCGCACAGACACCAAAACCTCCCCACGAGCGACTCACCTGTACTGGCAGATGTCGTCATTGACCTTAGCAACTGTGTAAGAGATGTCGACGCCGTCATTGAACGTTTCCTTCAGGATGAGTGTGTTGTTGGCTCTGATGACTCCGTTCTCGGGGACCTTCGCTGCGGGAGAGAGGCGAGAGGATGAGGAACGAGGAGGGATTCAGGGGTTTTCTCGGTGAAGTTTTGTGGATAACGGTCAGGCATATTGTGATCTTTATCGTTGTCATTATTATTAGTGTTATTGTTATTATTATTATCATCATCACAATATTTAACATTATCATAATCATCATCATTATTATTATTATTATTGTTATTATTATCATTATTATTGTTATTATTATCATTATTATTGTTATTATTATCATTATTATTGTTATTATTATTATTGGTATTATTGTTATCATAACAATTATTATTGGTATTATTGTTATTATAACAATTATTATTGATATTGATATAATCATTTATTATCCTCATTATCACTGTTATTATTATCATTATTATTATCATTATTATTATTATTATTATTATTATTATTATTATTATTATTATCATTATCTTTATTATTATTATTATTATTGTTATTACTATCATCATAATTATCATTACTGTTATTATTATTATGATCATTATTGGTATCATCATTATCATGATTTTCAATATTATTATCATTATTATTATTATTATTATCATTATTATTATTATTACTACTACTACTACTACTACTACTACTACTACTACTATCATCATCATCATTATCATTATTGATGATATCATTATCATTATTATCATTACTATCATTATTATCATCATAATCTTTTTTATCAATATCATTTTTATCATTATCATTATTACTACCATTGCTATTTTTCCTATTATTGTTATTATTACTATTACAATCATCATCACTATCATTATTATTATTAATATTATTACTATTATTATTATTATTATTATCATTATTATTATGATTATTATTGTTATTATCATTATTATCATTATTATTATTATTATTATTATTATTATTATTATTATTATTATTATTATTATTATTTATTATATTTTATTATTATTATCATTATTATTATTATTATTATTATTATTATTATTATTATTATTATTATTATTATTATTATTATTATTATTATCATCATTATCATCATTATTAATATTATTTTCATTATCATTATTAGTAGTATTAGTATCATCATTTTTGGTGTTATTATTGCTATTAGTATTATTGGCATTATTATTATCATCATTGCTATAATTATCATTATTATCATTATTATTATTAGTAGTAGTATTAGTATCATTACTATCGTTACCATTATCATCATTATCATTATCATTATTATGATTACCATTATTATTATCATTATCATTAGTATTATCATTATTAGTAGTAGTACTATTATTATCATAGTTATTATAATCGTTATCATCATCATCATCATTATTGTTATTATCGTTATTATCAATATTATTATTATTATCATTATCATTATGATCATCATCATCATCATCGTCATCATCATTATTTATTATCATTATTATTATTATTATCATCATCATCATTATCATTATTATTATTATCATTTTCATTATCATTATCATCATTATTATCATTATTATCATCATTATCATTACCATCAGTATTATCATTATCATTAATATCATTATTATTATCATCTTTTTGTTATTATGATCATTATTGTTATCATAATCATTACCATTATCATATTATCATAATTATCATCATCATTAATTTCATTATCATTATCATTATCACATTTGCTTGTCAACAGTAAAAGTCAAGCAAACAAGTTGATATTCAGCTTATCTTCTATATAGTTCATTAAAGACATGATGTGAAGTAAATATTATTCAGCATCTCTTCATGTCTGTCTATCTGATTTGAACTTTGTTCATATGATACTATCACAGCAATATGATATCATGTTATGTGTAAGATTATGTAGGACCTGCAGGGTGTAGCTCTGGAAGATAAACAAGTTCTATGGGAAAATATTTTTGTCATTGACCACATCAATTTCAGCACCGATGTTTCCGTCTAAATTAACATGAAATTGTCACAAGAAATCATGAATCCCAAAATGAATAGCATTATATAGCAATAGTAAGCTACAGTCTACATTCCTGAAAGACCACACACCGTACTATAGCTGTACTCCAGAGTAGGATGCAGGGTACATACGCCTTACATGCTATTTCCGTGTGAGACCAGCGTCAAGTTGAAAACAACGGTCTCGTGAGTGCGTCGTTACTTCAATATGCTTGCAATTTTCACCGCGCAAAACATTTTATTTTACAAAACAACCATTTTGACGAACTACTCAGTGAAGTAGCTCACACGTTTTTACCCAAAAATGTTATATTTTCCTTTGCAGTTAGGTTGAGAAGCTACTTAAGATTAATGGGAAAACGTTTCCAAAAGTGATCTATCTTTCTTAGCAGCCACGCGAAGGAAGTACTTACTGACGCAGCAGACGCCGAAGCCCTTTCCGCACACGCCCGACACGGTTCCTCCTTGCTTGGCGCACTCCAGTCTGCCCACGCAGGTGCCGCTGGTGCCGTCGGGCGCCGTGCACAGCTCGTTGGACAGCCGCACCACCGTCAGCGGAGAGAAGAAGTTATCTGGGGAAGCACAAGAAGGTTCATGAGAAGAATAAAAAGGGTCTTAGATGGAGAACAAAGAGAGGTTAGAAGAGGGAGAGAGGAAAGGTATTGTGAAAGTCTGATTTTATGTTGATAAAAGACGCTTGGATCATCAAATAGTAATATAAAAAAGGTTTTTCCTTTCTAAAACAAAACTACAGGAAGGCTACTCCATAATGTACACTCCTGCCTAAGTGTTCGACTCAGAGCCACAAGGTAATTGGGAAGTTTAACGC